CTACAATGGAGTTCTTAGAAAGATTCTCTTCTCCTAAAGGATAGAAAGAATTTTAAATTGCAACAATAAGCTTGAGGCAGAAAGTTTGTGTGAGGTGTTGAAAAGACAGAGGGGTCCTCTGAAAAGATCTCAAAATAATATATTGTTTTCCTTGTGCATTCTGTGGCCTGCTCTTGCAAAAAAATGTGTAATATATACACACTATGTATGGTGCAGTGTTTGTCAGTAAAAACAATAAGCATAAACACTTCTGTGTGCATCTGACAATAGGATAGTCAAGGCTAATCCATGCAACTGAACAGAAAATGAACTGTGATTTAAAAACCAGTGATAGCTGGATCTCCTTCTCTGGTAAAGACATACATGGTCTGGAATTCCTCCACTGAGAGGACTGATAAATTAAAGGTAATGTTTACCAATGAAAGTTTGCTAGAGAGCATTAAAAGTGAATTCTAGATCTGCTTTCTGTGTTTCTTCTAAAGACCAGACATAAAACAGCCCATAGTACCAGAGAAGTAACAAACCTGCTGACAGTCATCCCAGTAGGGATTGCATGTTCAGACCGGCTGCAGAGCAGAAACGGGCTCAGCATGAACTGCTTTGCAGCTGATGCCCCATGCTGTGTGTTAAGAATGTGCCAAGAAAACTCCTCTAGTCTACATACTAGGGAACTCCTCTGCAAGGTTTAATACCATTGATATTAGTAACTTACACAGAGACTTTTCAAGACTCAGAAAAATTCCCATGTCAGAACTGCATTCTTAAACAATATGGCCTTACTGGTGTGTTGAGATTCAAGTTTTGGAGTGCAGATTGTGCTCTGCATATAAATTGATCAGTCTGTAAATGCTCATGAAAATCAGGCTGGAAGTGCCTTGGAGGCCTGACAGTCACCCACCTCTAACCCATCTCTACAGCACCTTTAGTGTGAGGGTATTACATAGAGATGCAAAATCCCAGGCCTGCGCTGCAATAACTGACAATTTAGTTGGATATCTCCACATAACAGCTTACATGGGATAGATGATGTAGGGTCAGATTCTACCACCCTGGTCAAGAGCAGGAGCTCACTCTGCAAACAGTCTGATATGTACCAGGAGAAATGCTGAGAGGGGGTCACTGTGTCTGTTACTCTGCTAATTACAACATAATAAATAGTTACTGGAGCCAGGACTGTGGATAGGGAGGAACTGCTTGTGGAAGAGCACTACATTTCTGCAGAATGTAGATCAAGGATACAACACTGGTCTCAAGGGACACACACCCTGAGCACACTCACCTCCCACTTGTTCTGTTCCAGGCAGAAAGGACCAGCTATTGTTTAGTGCTCCAGGAGCACACCGATTAAAACTCCCAGCTTTGTGTTAAAGGCTTTGCAATGATCAGCTTGTACGACTGTAAAAATGCTGTCTATGACAATAGAAAATTAAACAAAGCAACACAGAATTGCCCTGTTTATCACATTGTTTCTTAAAAGAAGCTAAACTCCACTCTAGCACTATGACAAAATCTATTCTAAAAATAAAGTTTATATATCTTAGGGAATATCTCTGAATGTCCAAATCACTGATTTTCTTCAAACAGTAATATATGCCCTGCCACGCATACTGTAGGACCAAGCAGTATGCATCAACTGACTTCAAAGAGAGCAGTCATTACCCCACAAACAGAGCTCCACTACAACTGCATGCATTTTTTGGAGGATATCACTGAGGATAGAAGTGGGATGCTGATCCAGAAGTGTTTTAAAGGTAGCAAGGACAGAAAGAAACTCTCACCTCTGGGTCATGGCTTGGAATCACTCCTTAAACTGTGGTATTCTGAAGACAAATTCAGACCCAGAACTAAAAGCTGCCTCTGAAAAGCAACATGATTATTCCTGCTTGTTCCAAGATCAGCACTGGTCTTACAAGTTCTAGTGGCCATCAGAAGAGACCACATGAGCTGAATGAAAATAAAGCTCAATTAATTCTCTGGCCTGTGCATGGTATCTGCATTAAAAACTTGAAGCTGCTGGCATGCCATCTTTGATTAGGTAAACACTAGATTTCTACTGGCAAAACTACAGTGTATGAAAAAAAATCATTTTATTTAAAATAAAAACACCACAAAACCCTTTCATTTTTAAATGGATGGATTCTTTTTTTTTTTTTAATGACCAAGTTAATCAATTTCCATTTCATTCTCTGCTTAACTAGCAGAAAAGACAGGAAAAATCATAAAGAAAGATATTCCAGAGGCAGTACTAATATATTTCTTTAACTTCAAATTCCATGTTCAACAAAAAACTTTAGTGGATTATGGTGGATTAGCCTAGATATATTGCTTAAACTTGTATTTTATTATGAAATCTTACCTCCGTTAAATGAATAGAGCAAGGACTTTGTAAATATCATGTTTTAAACATATATTTTTTTATATCTCTTTCTATATTGTGGGAAATTTTCACTCCCATTAAGATCTGCTTTAATGTAAACATTCTCTTGTTTTTACGCTAAGAATGGAATAAAGCACATGACTCAGATCTGCGTGGCTGTATCTCAAGTTATATATTTACCATTCTATTTCTCACCAGAGTTTGCTGTCTTGCCTCGTAAAGCCCCATATAACTTTCAACAGAGAACATCTAATCCTAGACAAAATGGAAAAACTTGACCTCTTCCTATATATATTTGCAAAACTGTAGAAATCTAGGTTCCCAGCGGGCTGACGCTTTGCTCTTTTTTGCGAGGCAAGTGACTGCTCACAACCCTGGCAAAGGCAGTTTGCAGCTAGCTGGTAGCCTGTTTTCTCATGGTCAGTCTGATCTTCAGGGATGCTGAGCACCCATGGGCACACACTGGGACCCTCACCTGCTTCCCTTGGGAATACAAATCAATAAAAAACCCTATTCCTCATCATGTTTGTCATCAGTATTTTAGTTGTTGGCTTCAGAGGTCATGAAATAAGACTTCCCGGTACCATCAAAAAGCTGTTCTGTACGTTGCAGAATAAGGTCCTGCAGTGACTAAGCCTGCAGGAGACAATCTGCCTGACAACAACAGAGTGCTTTCACGTGGAAGTGGGAGTTGAACATGCCAGGGAGAAGGTCTGTTTTTGTGGAATTCCTTTGCTCAGTGGAAAAAACTTGGGCTGTACAGAGCATAAGTGTTTATTTATTTCCAAAGTACTGCTGCTGCATGACAGAGCAGCAAATCTGCCTGTAACAACCTATTGAGAGACTTTACCTGACTCAAACTAGCTAGTATTGTTCTAATCCATCCTAATAGCATCCTGATGCCCCACCAAAGCCTGGCCAAAGTGTTAACATATTGTTTAGTTTGAAAGAAACCAAACTATTTTATGTAAAAAATTGTATTTCCTCCCTCTGGAAACCTCTTCAGACTCTGGTTGTCTGTAGTGATTTGACATAACTTCCCAAACAAACAAACTAGTGGATGCATAAAATTTCCATTCACTTTCCAAATAATTCCACAGCCAGTGAAAAATGGCTTATTTCAGTGGAAAATTCCTTGCCACTTTCAACACAACATCTCAGGATGCTACAAAGGAAAGGCTGTTTTTCCTCTTTCCTACCCTAGTAATTCAAGACATTTTGTCTGGTACAACTTATGGTTGACAAAAAACAGCTATGTAAGAACAGTTATTAAGACTCCCATTACAGAAGAACTTTTTGGAGTTGTGAGAGTTTAGTTATAGGAACTGGGACTTTGTGAGATGCTAGCAAATTATTCTATGCTTTAGTAACCATTTTCCTAAGAGCTTAACCCTTAGAGTAGCTTAGCATGCACATCTTATTATACCACACCTCTATTACCTACTTAGTAGAGGCCAGATAAGATTTTTATACACAGCGTGGAACATGCAATTTACTGTTGGATGGAATAGCCAGGATTTGCGTTTCTGTATGTAAACTGCAGAGTCAGATTTGGAATGGTTAATCCTCATTAATCACTTTGTACTTCTCTTGCTATGTATACATAAGCTGTAACTAAAAACATCTGTCATCCAGGTCCTCTGTTCCCTCCCCCAGCAAAGCATGGCTTTGAGACCCCTGAGTGGACTGTAACCATTCATCACCCACAGTGAAACATCTGGGATTTTGGAAAAGGCACATGAAAATTACATTTTTGGAAAAGTCTGATTCAGCTCTGAACACAACCCATAAAAGTCTATTCCTTGAGCGACTTCAGAGGTACTGGAATATATTTTTAAGACCCTGAATCCACTGACATCTGCTCCTAGTCTCTGCAAGAACTGTGTCATGATTATATTGTAATCTCTTTGTCAGGTATGCCTATAAAATCCAAAACTGTTAGAAACATTCCAGTGAACTCAGTAACAGTGGGAATGAAGCTAAAACCTGTACCTTGCATGCCACTGCTGATGGATTAGCTTTTGAAAACTCTCCTGAGCCTATGTGGCTCCTAGGAGACTTTCAAAAGAGCCCACAGGGTCAGCACATTTGATTCCCTGAAGCAGAGGAAAATAAAATCCTGCCAGGAGGAAGAAAGAGAAACATATCACTTCTACACTCCCTAACATCAGCCAGCTATTGGAGTGCATGCTGACATCTCTCAATCTCTCCTAAAATGAAGTGACACTGTTGTTAAGACCCATTCAGCCACAGATCACCACATTCTTTCCTACAGACAGCCCCAGTGTTTTGATGCAGCTCTTGATCTCAGCTGACAGTCACTGCTGCCCTCCTGCCAGTGTGTCTATGGGCTTGGGTGCAATAAGCAGCAGGAAAACAAAAGGGAGGGAAAGGGAGAAAATAAAATAAAAATGTATTTTTTTTTTTTTTCCAGAATGAAGAATTGAATTCTTTAACCTTTAAACATGCTTGTTTACTTACAGGAAATATTTCAGGCACAAAAGGTTTGAGTATCAGTCACATACCACGTTAAATTGTAATAGTATCAGGATTGTCCCATGCAGTGCAGTCAGCTATATTATCCCCTATCAAGAAGTTGGAGTTGTAGTTTTTGTATACATACATATATATAAAATATGCATCTTTCACACTATGGTCTCCTGGTCCGAGTTGACTCCAGTAGGGTTTATGTAACAACAGTATCTGTCATAGGGGCTGTTCTCTTTGTAAGAGCAGACAATGATACTGTCTTTAGGAGCAACAAAAATGTTGTCTTCAATGTCAGGGCAAGCTGCATTTTCTCTGGTGGGAGAAGAGCTCTTCGCCTCCAAGGCACTGTACGTGGAGCCATCTCCCACGAACACATTCCCCGGCATCTTTGGGTAACAGGTCTCCAGGTATCTCAGCATCTCCTCCTGCTCCACCTTCCTGATGAGGCTCTTGCATTCTCCCATGGTGGTGGTGGTGGTGGTGGTGCAGATGGACACGGTGTCCTCACCCCGCAGCACTCTTCTGTCCTTCTGGTACACTCTCTTGGCCAGCTCGTCACAGCTCCCCTTGCCAGACTCCAGGTCCGAGGGTGTCCTCAGCAGCTCCATGACATCCCTGTCTGTGACTTGCTTGCAGCACGGACACTTGTTCTTGGGCCACTTGGTGCAGCCGTCGGTCTTTCTGGTGAGGGCGATGGCAGCGATGCCTGGCAGGCAGATGGCCGGCCCGATGGCCAGCAGCGGGATGTCCCCCAGGGTCTCTCCCTTGATGCCGGACACGGTGAACATGAAGCCAAACACCAGGAAGACGCTGACCAGAGCCACCACCAGCCCCGTCCGGGGGTTGATGTCGTCGGGTCTCATGGTTCGCACCATCCTGCTGCCGTGGAAGGGACCGCTTTCCTTCCCCGAGGCAGGCCCTCGGGGTGGGGGGTGTGTGTGGGGGGGTGGGTGCTCCCCGGCAAGGGGCTGAAGTTTCCCAGGCGGCGGAGCGCGGAGGCCCCCGACGGCCAGCACCGCCCGGCTTCCCCTCGGCGGAGACGGAGTCGGCGGGCGGGCGGGGACCGGGGCCGGGGCCGGGGCCGGGGCCGGGGCCGGGCGGGCGGGCGGCAGCCGTCCTGCCTCCTCCCTCCCCCGAGCCGCTCTGAGCCGCGCTCCTCCGGCCGCTCCTCTAAGGCGGGAGCGCCCCCCGCCACCACCGCCCCCCGCCGGCAGCCCCGCCGCGCCCTCCCACGCGTGACGGCGGGCATGGGGGGTGTGGGGCTCAAACCCTGCAAAAGGGAGGGGGAGCGAGAGGGGAGGGTGGGGAGGGGGAACAAGACACCCAGGCAGTTTCCAGCAGCCGGCGGGCGGGGAGCAAGCTGCCACAAGGGACACCTGCCCTTCCTCCTCCTCCTCCTCCTCCTCCTCCTCCTCGCCCAGCCCCGCCGGAGCCCCGCAGCAGCCGTGAGTACGTGCACCGCTCACGGGTGCCGCGGCGCGGGGGTCTGCGGGGTCGGGAGAGAGGGGGAGAGAGGCTTTAGGAGGGCGGTCCGGGGAGGCTCGGGGGGCTGTGTCCCCCCCACCCGATGGCAACCGCTGGCAGCTGCCGCCGCCCCCGGGCAGGCTTCCCCTCCCAGGCGGAGGGGACTGGGGGGGTCTGGGAAGCCCTCGCCGGACCCCGCGACAGGGGTCCGTCTTTCCGCGGGGGGCAGCGGCCGCGCTCCCGAAAGCCGGGACTGCGCTCCCTCGGAGCCCCTGCCTGTGCGGGGCTGGGGTCTGCGGAGCCAGTTCTCCTCCGGGCAGAGAGCAGCCCTGCCTCAAACTCTCCCGAGTTAGGTGCAAGGGGAGAACAGGGCTTTGGGAGATGCCGTGCTGCTGCTGAATTTCAGCCCGGCCCGTGGAGGTAAAGCTGTTCCCGGTGTTAACCCCTCCCCGAGACCCCAAGAATGAATCTAGCAGTCGGGATGCACCTCGCAGTGTTTCTCATGCTGTCTAAGACCTGCCATAAATCAGCTGTGGTGGCAATGTTCTGTGTTTTGATTCACATGAGTGACGGTAATTCAAAGTAAGCCCCACCATCTGAACGAATATAGCAAAGTATCTGAAATGTGTGGGAATGTGGAAAGGCAGGAAGGCCCTTAATGAGCAGCAGCATTTTCAGGCAGGTTCCCTCAATATCTAATGTGCCAGTGACATAAAGGAGTAAATGCTTTCACCTGGGGCAGAGATACCAGGAGATAAGAAGGAGTGACACGAGAAAGTGTCCAAGAGCATTAAAAGAATAAAAAGGGACATTCAGAACCAAATCATGAAACTGTGGTTTCTGTAAGTTTTCCTATTAACATGATTACTTTTCCTCATATTAAAAATTTGAAAATTCGGAGAAGCCATTTTAGGAAACACTCAAACCTCTTGCCTTTCAGCCATATAAAGGCCTAGGTTTTATTCATCATCCCTATAGTAAGTACAACATGAATGAAGCACCTCTGTGTTGTAGATTTCCAAGTTGTGTTGCAGAGAGAAAGCCCAAGAATATCTTCTCATTAATGGTGCACAACTGCTGCCATACAGGACACTTTCTTCATAAATGAGGCATCACATGATAGCCTTTGCTGTCTTAATTTGAAGGAAGAATAAGTGTGAGAGCAGAAGTACTCATACTGGGGAGAGGTATTTTAGGGCGGTGGCAATGACCTGGTTTTGAGATTAAAAGTTTGTAATGGACCATGATTATTGTTTGAACTTGTCCTCCAGAAAGTTGTCCAGTAAAATCCATGCTGAGCCTCTCACCTGTTGCTGAGAGGGCTGAAACAGGAATAATTTTGACTCTATTAGGAATACCCTCCATCTTGGCTGAAAGACCTAAAAATCAAAACCTTCCAGTTAGATCTCAGCACAAGTTAACTTCTACTTTTGTCACTGTGCAGGATTTAGCAGGGTGAGAAACTACTGTAGTGTCTCAGCTCATATTTTCTGGAGTGAGAATTTGCTGCTTGTTTCCATCTGCTGTTATTCAGATATACAGCTTTTATGTCCTCACATTAGAATGAATAATGCCTTTTTTACCCGTCTGTTAAATTCTGGATGAAGGGAAGTGATTAACTTTCATCCAGTCTGTCCTACATAGCTAAAATGTTGTAAAGATTGTTATCAGCAAGGATGTGTTGGTAACTAATGCTGTGAAACTCACCGTACCTACTCTCTGACCTTCCTTCATTGCCCTCATACATTTGAATAGTCTTTAAGATTTCCTGTTGGGTTGGAAATTGGTCTTTTGCTGAAAAACAATGTTGCTTGGGAATAGCAATTAGCTGTAGCTGCATTCAGCAACAGTCCTTCAGAGAAAGGAAAATATCAGTAGATGACACAGAAATATAAATATCATTAGTGGTATCAGTGGAGGGGAAAAAATACCCTAAGAACTGCAGTACATGTCAGAAGATCTAACAGGAACAAAAAAATGGCCCTTCAAATTTAAGCGACAGGGTTACTGAGATGGAAGAGAGAATGCCTAGTTTGGAACAGAAAGCTGTTAGTGGGCAGAAAAATACAGAAAATGTCAGGAAAAAGGTGAAACTAAATGTTTCCAAGTTGTGCCTTTGTGAGTGGTTTCGAAGACTAACAGTATGAAGGTTGTATGCTTCCTGGGGGGGATATAAAAGGGAAAGCAACCACCCCATTGCAGGAAAGCATGCTACAATTGTTAAAAGTGTCTTTCCAAGCTAGAAATTGAGATCAGCAAGCATCCACTTACATAACTAAGCAACAATGCAAATGGTTGAATTTTCTATCCTGTTCATAACTAGAGAAAAAAAATTACTCCTTTGAGGTGAAGCGTGTTTCAGTTGTGGTGCCTTACACAAAAGGTTTGGATTAGTGCAGTGACTGAAAATCCAAATTATTAGTTGAACCGATAATAATGGTGATTAACAATCTTTTCTTGCTATTACCCATAACTTAGACTGTTCACTCAAAACTAAATTGGAGCTGAATTTAGGTAAAAAAAAAAAAAATGTGTTATTATTCTATGCTGTAATTTTGTCAACTCTTTTAGGACTGGTCTAATTGGATTAGTCTTTGGAAGAGATTTTTGGGAAGATCTAGAATTCATTAAGAGAAGACCGAATGGACATCCCTTACCAGGGTAGGCAGAATGCTGATGTTGGACACGGGTCACATGTCATGCATAAACAGGGATATTAAATGGTAAGCTGGTATGACCTGGACTGGGACACAATATCAACTTGCTCACCATGCATTACCCCTATATATTCACTTAGATACAAAACCCTTTTTGGTCCCACATAACAGTTCAGTGTAACTGGTAATCAGGTAGTATATGTCATTCTCTCAATGTTTGAAATTCATAACTGAAAGTAGCGGCCACTGTTGGTAAAATATGTAAGCATTACTCAGGTTGAAAGCTGCTACAGAATTGTCACCTACCCCAACTCCTTATGGCTGTGGTGTGGAAGCTGGAAAACTGCAAATTAGAGCTGACTTCAAATTGAAAACAAAGATTTAAAATAAAGAGCTAAATCAAAGTATAGTGACTATTATAGTGTTAGTCATGTTAATTATTGCAGGCGGCCAGAAGTCCTCAACCTCCTTTTTTATCATCTCAATCTATCCAATGTAAAATATAGAAATTTGAATGGCCCCAAATGAGTAAAACACTGTTCAGTATTGGCTAGGAAGGTGGAAACTTTAACACGTCAAAGATCTGAGAGTCTTCAGCAGTCCTGGTCTCATGCAGTGGTCTGAGACAAGGCATCTATATAGGAATAACTCATACTTCCAGGAGAGTTGGATCCCTCAGATAGGGATGACCCCATCTTCTTTTTTATCTCCATTACTTTTAGCACTTGCCACCTCAACAACGCAAATGTCCTCTAGCCTGCATTTGCTGACCTATTATACTGATGCTAAAATATCAAGGATCAGCCAATCACATTGTTACTGTTTCAACTTGAAGTAATGTTTTAGCTCAATCTCAGGCTCTTTCATAGAATCATAGAGTAGTTTGAGTTGGGAGTGACATTTAAAGGCCATCTAGTCCAACCCCTCCTGCAATAGGCAGGGACATCTTCACCTAGATCAGGTTGCTCAGAGCCACGTCCCACCTGACCTTGAACACTTCCAAGAGTGGGGCATCTACCACCTCTCTGGGCAACGTGTTCCGGTGCCTCACCACCCTCATCGTAAAAAATTTCTTCCTTATGTGTAGTCTGCATCTACCCTCTTTTTGTTTAAAATCATTACCCCTTGTCTTATTGCTACAGGCCCTACTAAAAAGTCTGTCCCCATCTTTTTTATAAGCCCCTTTAAGTACTGAAAAGCTGCTGAGTTCACCCCAGAGCTTTCTCTTCTCCATGTTGAACAACCCCAAGTCTCTCAGCCTGTCCTCATAGGAGAGGTGTTCCCTCCTTGAATGTGTTTGTGGCCCTCCTCTGGACTCACTTCAACAGGTCCATGTCTTTTTTTTGCTGAGGAGTCCAGAGCTGGACACAGTACGACAGGTGGGGTCTCACAAGAGCAGAGGGGAAGAACCTTCAGCCTGCTGGCCATGCTTCTCTTGATGCAGCCAAAGACATGGTTGGATCTCTGGGCTGCAAGCACACATTGCTGGCTCATGTCCACTTTTTTATCCACTAGTACTCCCAAGTCCGTCTCCACAGAGCTGCTCTCAGTCCCTTCATCCCCCAGACTGTATTGATACTGGGGGTTGTCCCAATCCATGTTCAGAACCTTGTACTTGGCCTTGTTGAACCTCATGAGGTTTACATGGGCCCACTTCTTTGAGCTCGTCATGTCCCTCTGGATGGCATCCTGTCCCACAGGTGTGTCAACCACATTACTCATCTTGGTGTTGTCTGCAAACTTGCTAAGGGTGCACTTGATCCCACTGTCTGTGTCACTGATGAAGATACTGAACAGTACTGGTTCCCATATGGACCTTGAGGGACACCATTCCCACTGGTCTCCATCCCAAAACCGAGCCATTGACCACTACCCTTTGGATGCAACCATCCAACCAATTCCTCATTCACTGAACAGTCCATCCATCAAATCCATGTATCTCCAATTTAGAGAGAAAGATGTTGTGGGGGACCACATGAAAGGCCTTACATAAGTCCAGATAGATGATATCCATAGCTCTTCCCTTGTCCACTGATGTCGACACTCCATCACAGGAGCCCATTAGGTTGGTCAGACAGGATTTGCCCTTGGTGAAGCCATACTGGCTGTCTCGAATCACTTTCCTGTCCTTCACAGGCCCTAGTATAGCTTTTAGGAGGATCTGTTCCATGATCTTCCCAGGCACAGAGGTGAGGCTGACAGGTCGATAGTTCCCAGGGTTCTCCTTTCTACCCTTTTTAAGAATGGGTGCAATGTTTCCCTTTTTCCAGTCACCAGGGACTTCACCTGACTGCTACGACTTTTCAGATACCATGGAGAGTAGTTTGGCAGCTACATCAGCCACTTCTCTTGGGACTCTGGAATGCGCCTTGTCAGATCCCATAGACTTATCTGTGTTCAGGTGCCTCAGGTGGTCACAAACCTGATCTTCTCTTACAGTGGGAGGGACTTTACTCCCCAGTCCCTGCCTTGTGGTCCACCCACTCGAGAGGTGTGGGAAGAGAGATTGTCAGTGAAGACTGTGGTAAAGAAGCTGTTGAGTACTTCAGCCTTCTCCTTGTCTGTTGTTACCAGTTTGCCAGTCATGTTCATTGGGGAGGGTATACTTTCTTTGAATTTTCTTAATTACCATAGAGCAACCAAACCATCTATCTAGATAAGCAACTTCAGATGTGCTACATCTTTCTGGTTTTATGTAGGTTTGATAGTACAGATCAGAAAAGAATGGACAAGATGGATGTGGTAAAAAGGGTACCAGTTGAATGACATTTAGATAAATTTTTCCAGCACTTCTTTCTTAAACCCTTCTCTGAACAATCTGTTTTGCAGATCTGATTGACTGCTTCAGATGCAAATGTGGCTTTGTGTAAAAGCAAAGCCTTGCTCTGACCAGGAAGTATTGTAAAACCCATTGAAAAGTGCTTGTAGCATATTTTTTAGCATCCTAAAGTGAGATAGATCTGGGAGATGGTGTTTCAAATTAATATATTACAACTGACATCTGGCCTATCTATAACATCTCAGCCATACCATTTGAAGACTCCACAAGTCCTTAGTAACATCACAGGTGAAATTAGACTCTCCTTTCCACCTTCTAAGATCTATGGCACTGCTAAAACTTGACACAGCTTGATACTGCTTCTGAGTGTGGGAACATGTAGGTCCTCTATAATTTGGATACGAAACACAGGACTTGTTTTGCTGATAAGTTCTCTGTGAACTGGGATGCTCAAGTTGCAAGCTTTTACTGCAATGCTTTTGTGCACACACTTGAGCCATCCCATTAGCTTGAGTAGACTATGTCATTCTGCTGAGGTCACTGACACTTCAAACCTGCTCAAGAGCTGCTTCACAAAGTCCTTCCAGTTTGCTATCTATAGCAAGTACTCCTTGCTGAAGGTGGGCGCTGAATGCCACATCCACCTTCAAGACTTCTTTAACATTATGTTTTCCTGGCCACATCTGCAAAAGGAAGTATTTGCTAATTTCTTTGTGCTTTGCAAATGTGTGCTGTGATCCTCATACGCCTCAATTTACAGATTTTTTTTTTCCATTTGAAAAACCTTGTTCATTGAGGTCCACATACAAAAATTACCTTATTTATATTTCTTATGGGGTCTGTCTAGCCAAACCTTATGGATCTTCCGTCCATCCTAACCACTCCCAAAGCCCCGGGTGGTTTTCTGTCTCTTCATGTCCTCAAGCATAAGAAGTTCACCTGTGGGAGGGTTTTTGGACTGTGGCTGTTCACTAATGCCCCTTGGTCTTGATTTCTGCACGCAATCATTTCTGCTTCACTGCTGCTTGCTGGCTGGTTGGCTGTAGGTCAGATGTGGAAGGACTCTTGTGATGAGAGAGTCCTATCAAGAACCAAGTGGCAAAAGGAGAGTAGCAGATGCCTGAAGGTCTTGTGCTTTGCCACTGAGCCATCACACCGGGAGTGGGATTCAGAAGCCCTGATAATGAATCATGCATCAGTCTTGAGGTGACCTCAGGGAATTCAGAAGGGTTGCTGTGGAAGAGGTACAGGCTGTTTTATGAGTCACATCATCAGACAGTAAATTTGCACCATGGGAGGAGAACCCTGCCCATGTAATTCAGTAGGAACTTTGACTATCTGCATTATTCTGCCTGGTGTGCTTTTTCCCTTTAGGGTACTTCTGATTAAATATACTTTATTTCTTCTATCTAGAAGTACTCAGACAAAAGATGCAATAATCTCAGGGGAGTCAGCCACAAGTACTGTGTGTTATGCATAATGGTGAATAATAGGTATTTTGCTTTATCCCAAAGAACACAGTAAATTGAAGCCCACAGTCCTTTAAAAGGGTCTCTAATTGAAGTCTCTTGTCCGTGGAGAGAGAGAGTGAGAGAAAATAACCCATGCCAGGTTGTCTTGACCTAACTCTACAGAAGCAGCTAGTGATTTCAAATGTGCTGAAACACCTTTAAAAACTTTTAAATAAATCATGTGGAAATAACCACATACTAGGGCACTTGAAATGACTAATTCTCTCTGTGAAACTTGCTGACACCCTTCCTGTCTCCTTAGGAAAAGTTAGTAAAAAACTAAGGGAACTGATCAAAATAGTACTAGCAATTCATGTTACTTGCAGGGTCTTGAAGACTGGAACTTCCCAAGCCTATTAAAATTGAAACAAATGAAATGGGGATGGGTATCGCCAAATCCCCAATCTACAGCTCATTTAGACAATGCAAATATCACTTTTTTAAAAATAATTCCATGCTGTGGATGTGAAAGAAACAGTGAAATCTTTGTCATAACAGTACTGGTTGCCTTCCTTCTGATTACTTTGTGCTACATCTGCATCTTTTCCAAGATGTAGCATATAATCCTGGAAACCACTTCCAGGCATATGAATGACATTAAAATAATCAGGAGTAGTCTGCATTGATTACCAAACAGAAAGTCATGCTTGACCAACCTGTAAACCTTCTACAGTGAAATGACTGGCCTGGTAGGTGAAGGGAGAGCAGTGGATATTGTATACCTGAAATTCAGTAAGGCCTTTGACACTGTCTCCTATAAGATCCTCATAGACAAGCCTCATGTATGGGTTGGATGAGCAGACAGTGAGGTGGATTGAAAACTGGTTGAATGGGCAGACCCAAAGGGTGGTGATCTGTGGCACAACATCTAGTTGGAGGTCAGTAGCTAGCAGTGTACCCCAAGGGTCAATACTGGGTCCTTCAACATCTTCATTAATGATCTGGATGATGAGGCAGAGCATGCCTTCAGGAATTTTGCAGATAACACAAAACTGGGAGGAGTGGCTGATAATAGAGGGTCATGCTGCCATCCAGAGGGACCTGGACAGGCTGGAGAAAAGGGCTGACAGGAACCTGATGAAATGCAACAAGGGGAAATGCAAAGTCCTGCACCTGGGGAAGAACAACCCCAGACACTAATTTATGTGACGAAGACTGCCCAGCTGGAAAGCAGCTTGGTAGAATAGGATCTGGAGGTCCTGGTGGACACAAGGTTGAACATAAGCCATCAGTGTGCCCTTGTAGCAAAAAGGGTGAATGGTACCCTGGGATGCATTAAGAGTGTTGCCAGCGGGTTGAGGGAAGTCATCCTTCCCCTCTACTCAGAGCTGGTAAGGCCAAGAGTATTGTGTCCACTTCTGGGCTCCTCAATACTGTACAGACATGGAGACAATGGAGAAAGTCCATTGAAGGGCCATTAAGATGATTCAGGAACTGGAGAACCTATCCTGTGAGAGGTTGAGAGAGCTGGGACTGTTCAGCCTGAGGAAGAGAAGGCTCAGGGAGATCTCATCAATGTATATAAATGTCTGCAAGGAAGGTGCGAAGAGGACAGAGCAAAGCTCTTTCCAGTGGTGACCAGGGCCAGGGCCAATGACAGTGAGCACAAATTAAGACACAGGAGGTTCCTTCTGAATATCAGGAAACACTTTTTTACTGTGAGGACAACCAAGCACTGGCACAGGTTGCCCAGAGAGGCGGTAGAGTCTCCATCCCTGGAGATACTCAAAAACTGCCTGGACATCGTCCTGGGCGACCTGCTATAGGTGACCCTGCTTGAGCAGGGGTGTTGGACCAGATGACCTCCAGAGGTGCCTTCCAACATGCACCACTTTATGATTATGTAATAACAGAGAAAATGATGGATGAGTGTGAGTGTGTGTGCATGCATGGGCTGAGTAGCCCCTCATCACCGTATGCACAGGTGCTGGATGGAGGAGAAGGGCAAGGAATGTTTTACTGGAGAAGGGGATGCAAGCAGCTCTCTTTGAAGGGGGTGAAACCTGCTCAGTGCCCCAGGACTTCTATGGGGGGAGGAGTGCAATGTGACACAGGGGATGGGGCAGCTGTGTCCCTGAATAACATGAAATCTGTTTTTTTCAGGAGGCAGCCTGTCTGATCCCTGTCAAGTGCTGACAACTTCCCTCCCACATCTGCTCCACTGGGACCGTCTGCCATCACATTGTTGCTGTAGTCCCATGGTGGCTGCCCAGATCTTGGGCACCTCCCTGGCAGCTCCCCTCTCCACTGCCTTTGGGAGATACCTGCCGCTTTGCCCACCACAGCCCCACTAGCTCAGTATCTCAGAGGGTTTTCCTCTGGCAATGACCTCCAGCAGCTGTGGGGACACAGAGGCTCCTCAGAGGACATGTCTCACCTCAGCCCAGCTAGTGGTGGCCACTGTGAAGAGCTTTCAGGCCTTCTCTAAAGTCCCAGGGGAGAGTTCTGTGCTACCAGACAGGTATCTCTCAGCTTCACTGTCCTGGTGTGTAACTCCCAGAGCTGGCAGTAAAGGCAGCTGGTGATCAAACCAACAGCACTGTACCCACTGTGCAATTCCCCTTCTTGCGTTTGGCTTTCAGATGCACCAGAGACCAAGGTCAGGGAGTAACAGAAGTCTCTCCAGGCTTACCTCCCACACTGTGAGCTGCTGGAGACTGCCAGCAGAGGAAATGGTCTTCAAGTTTGTACTCATATGTACCAGCTGTGGGGAGTTTTGGGGGAAGGAGGGGTGGAAATGGTTGTTACAATGATGTTGCTGTTTTCCTCCATGGCTAAGGCATCAAAGGGGTGGGAAAGAGTAGTAGCCATAAGGTCTCTGTGATGGAGTAGAGAAAAACAAGAAGTTCTTTTGTCCAAAGGAAAATGCCTGTGCGTCACTATGGCCCTTGCATGCCACTGGCTGCCTAAAAATCAAGAGCTGACTTGTATAGACACCATTCATAAAAGCTCTCGTTGACTCAATAGTGGCTAAATGTGTGCCTGATTGACCTTAGTGCCCTACTAATTGGGCAGTTACAGGGGCAGCTACTTCACAGATTTTTATATTTCCTTTCTATGGACTCACTGCCTTTCCCTGAAGCTGCACTCACAATGTCCATTAACTAAGCCATTGCAGATAATGAGATGATGACAACCATGAGCCAATCTTGGTGCTGCTGTGTTGCAGAGCAGTATTTAAAGGTAGGTTTATGTGTTCATTGTGCTGGGAATGCAGCTGTGTGAATGCCTTAGGCATAAAATACATTATAGTGTTTACTAGATGAGGAGATGTGTAACCACAAAGGGTGAAGGATGGTGGTGGGGGAGGACTTTGTCAGTGCTACACACCTTTCAGTGTAATAGTCTGTTCTTGTATTTCAAAGGCATTTGGTGCAGGGGGGGTGGTGTTAAAGTTTTTACTGCTGTGCACTTGGACTGGTTGCAACACTTAGAGCTGGTAAAAACCTTGGATGCTAATATCGGGGGATATCAAATGGCTCCTGATTGCAAGCGTGGGTGTAAATACACTGCTAATTCCCTTTCTGTAGAACAGACCTGTGTCTCTGAAGAAACAGTGAAGGATGCTGTAAAAACATCTACATATGTTGTGGAGGAGGAGCAGAGCACAAGAAGGTCTTCAGCCAGCCCCCGGGAGTGAGGGGTTGGTGCAAACCAAGCCTCTGAGCACAGGCTCAAAATGGCCAAACCTGTCCCTGTGCTTACCTTTGCCTCCCCTGCACTCTGCTTGATGCAGGGGCAGCCCGGACCACCCGGGGCAGTTCCCTTTGGACGAGGATACTGCTTACCATCCCCCATAGGTGGGCTTAGCCTTGCTGCTGGGTTTAGAGGGCACCAGTGAATACTTACCCAGTGCGTTTACTATTGCTGGTCCTTCTGAGCTCATCACAAGCCACCCACTGGTAAGGCCCCATCTCTACATCCAGCATCAGGCGTGAGATGCCCTATGTCATCTGTCGAGGGATCTCCAGACTAGGTGGAGACACTTGGGCCATGTTGGCAGGCTCTTTTCTCACTCTCCAGGCTGCTGCGAGGTATTGTGCAACGCACGTGTGCAAAAATTTTTAATTCACTTCGCCAGAGAATACATCTTTCACTGGTGTGGTGGTAGGGAAGGCACAGTAGAGAAAGTTTTATAAGAAGCTTTTTTTCTCCTTCCTGCAAAGCGCAGGCCTTTTCTGCTGACTCTGGTGGTGTTTTGGGTCCCCAGTGTACTGCATGTGTGGGTACTGTCTCTTCAGCTGGGCTTTCACATCCCCACTCCCAGAAGTCCTGTTACAGCAGGACAGCAATCAGAGGTCTGGCCTCAGGACCTGCAGGTGAAGAGGCTGCTAAAAGAGGAGCTGGTGTGCCCCCCACTCCCCTGAATGTCACACTGAAAGTAAACGGGCACAGCTTGTGCAGTGACACTCTCACCCAGGGTGAGGACCCTTAGGTAAGCACATCCTTGGCCTTCCAGTTGATCCCAAATACCCACTTCCCATTACCAGTTTTCATTCTCCATTCAGGAAGCAACCTTCGGTTGAAGCCACTGAATGTGGGCTGCAAAGACTCCTTGTCTAGACAGACAGCTCATCTCAGGCACAGACACTTGGCCTGGACACCCACTCAACCCACCTCCCTGCAGAGAGTGGGCACAGGTCAGTCTGGGACCCTTGTGTGCTGCTCTCATGGTCTCTGAAAAACAGCAACCAGCCATCGGTATACACTGAGAAGTACCCTGTGCTTTGACAGGAAGCTGCAATGTGGTGAGATGAGTAATTAATTAGCCTTGTGCTGCCACAAGCATTTCCAGTCCCAGCTGACAACAGACTAATTAAGAACCTCCCTGTGGTGTCTATTTTAGATAACCATTTACTTTGGTACAAATTAACAAAGGCTTTTCTAATGGTTTATTTCACAGGCGACTCATTAGATTAATTTATGGGGCAAATAGCAGGAACTTGAATAGACATTTTGAGTTCCCAGCCACCAAAAGCCCAGACAATTTTGCTGAAGAATGCTCTAATTTTATCAAGTCAAAACACTTGCTTCCTTCTGATTCCTTCTGTCATGTTATTTGTTCTAGCCCAAGTCCAGAGGCTTTCAAAACTGAAGGTGACCTTGTATGTGCTGGTTCTTAGGAACAGGGTAATGCCCTCCCCCCCATCCCCCGCCACCTTGTACATGAGTGGTCCAGCTAATCTGAGGTGTTTGCAGACGGAGCACCGTGAGTGCTAAGTGTACTCTGTTATCAGAGTCATCTGTTTCAGCATCTCAGTGAAGGTTGAGGAACCAAACCTCATGCTACACCTATGATCCCTGCATCTGTGACCATGGGAAACACTGATGCGTGTGCTACTCCAGGGGTTTCAAAGGATCCCCTGCAAAGCTTAATACAATCAGAAAAGCGCCCTACATTCCTCAAATGTCAGGCAGGAGTGTTCTTCTCTTCCACATTAGCTTTCAAATGTTAAGCTTGACCTTGCCGAACAACTGCACAAGCACAGTTTGTCTTTAGGGTGCTGCAGGAGTATCAGATGTGTTCTGGACCAGAGTAGGGACATGGGTTGACAGTGAACACAGAATCAACCCGGTTAGCTCCACGCCAGGATCTGTCCTAATGGGAAAACACATGCAGGATTTTACCTTCCTTACTGCTTCTGTACTGCCTCATGTTTTCAAAGTATAGCTGTGAGGGTGAAATATTTAAGTTTGACCCCAAATCAAGAGTGAGTAGATGACAGCAAAGATGGAACATTGGACCTTATAGCAAGGGTTCACACATCTTGGGAAGGGAGCTGAGACTTTGGGCAGGAAAAGAAAGAGAAGAACATGTGCTGGAAGGTCTCGCTGGGGTAACAGGGCAGCACTGCAGCAGCAACAAAGTTCTTAGTGTGGTTTTCAGCAGGGTACAGTTCTCCAGGCATCTGAGATAAGATACTTCTGTCAGCGCTAGAATTAGTTGTAAAAGTCTATTTAAAATGAGTGTTTGAGCTTCTATTATATTTTCTTTTTTTCCTCTGTAGGGATTCTAGCCATTTCTCTGTTTTCAAACACTGGTTAAACTTAAGTTAAAGCCTTAGAGATTAATTTCTCTTCCACATTTGGTTGAAATTATGTTGTGGATTTGCATACAGAACAATTTCATTGGAGAAGTTATTAAAACTAGGGATGCCTTACTACAAGTCATCTGCTCAGAGCCACCTGCTTAGAGGCATACAGATCATCTTTGTTGATGAAAGGGGGTGTTTTCATGCTTTTCTTCCTAAAATGCTGTCCCAAACTGGAATATCTAGATTCTTCTGTGGGCTATCTTATAGGAAGTGAAAACGCAGAGCATTAGTGGGCTTATCAATTTGCATTTCTCAGCACCTAATTGTGTGTAATTTTTGCCTCCTCTCCACCCCCAGTGATTCTGCGTGAGCAGAAATGGGAACATTTCCGCTGTTTCATGGCAACAGAGCTATGCTGTGGAGGCTCCACAAAGCCGCGTGCATTATGATTTTTATCCCCTGTTGCAGGCTGGCGGTGTGTAAGCTTTTCCTTCCCAGACCTCTCTGACCCTTTCTGGATGCAAGCAGCTACAGTGAATATCAAGCATGACTTTGCCAAATCTATCTGCCCTCCCCCTCCTAATCCTTAAGGCTGTTGATGATTTCCTCCATGACTGGATGAAGGGATGCTGGTGACCCACTTCCTGAGTCTGAAGGCATCGTGGAGCATAGGGTAGCTGCAGTGCCCAGCAGCTCTGTGGAAGCTGAGTGCTGGCAGCCGGGAGGCAGCAAGGGTTGAACACAATTGCTTCTGAAATGCACACTGCGCACTTCTCCCCAGCAGATGCTTCTGCCAGAGCTGCGTGACAAAATGTGCTCTCAACTCACAAGGCCAGACTCCTCGCAGGTGTAAACTGGCTCAGCGCTACCATCTTCAATTTCTTCCCACTGAGGAGCTGTCCCTGCAGTCTCTGCCGAAAGCCTCCAAGGACTCTATTAAACGAGGGGCTTCTTGACCTTTTATCCGAGGAGTAGCTTTATCTAAGTGGCCTATGCCACACTGATGCAATTTGCACCATTGCCCTTTTCTGGCCAATCCCCTGAGCATTTCATTGTGGCCTCCTGAGGTCATCGGTGCTGCTGTGTTAACTCCTACCTGGTGAGCTCCTCCCTTGGGTGAGCTCAGCCTGCCAGAATAGTAAATTTTATTACCAGGCACCCATGTCAACTGCTAAGTGCAACTGGTGGAGCTGCAATTGTCACTCCTTCCAAAACCATCAGCTGGTTGGTTTTATTTTTTCAACTTTAAATAGCTGCTTACAAGAAGGTTGGGTGGTTTCTAAGCATGCTGTGTGCATAAGACTCCCCTAGGTTGTAAACTCACATGTCTTTTGCGCTTTGGTGTGTTATCAGATGGGGGTACTTGGGCATGTCGTGGTGCCTGAGTGTCTGTCTGGCCTCTGAAGCTGACCTGATGTCTGCTGCTTACTTTGCAGAGCAGAAATTCTTCATGGGACCATGAGTCTAGGCAAGGCCTTGTGGGTGAGCTAGGTGTAAACTCCAAGTAACAACAACTCACTGTGTTACATATTTCTCTGCACCGGCTTGCTCAGCCTCAGCAGAAACACTGAACAGCGCATCGTACCCAATTATGCAGCTTTGTCATTTTCAGACTCTCCCCAAATATGCATCTTTGATTGCTAGGTACTATCTTGCCTCCAGGTCCCATACATTTGCATTCAGTTTGTTCCGTACTCCTGGCTCCCTTCAGGGGCAAGGCTATCTCAGGGACAGTGCAGTCTCCTGCTAAACATGCTGGAAACAGGCCATGAGGTATGTAGTCATTGGTCTTGAACTGGAGAGTATGATCCTATTTCTCAAGTAAGGGTTCTGGTTCCTACTGTAATTCCCTGTCCTAAATCCTACCCTATTCTGCCCCGGGGAAGTCATCAGCTGCTGTGTTATCCCATGGCTTGCTGCAGGGTTGCTGTCTACAGCAAAGCAAGCTTCTAATGGTATTTTAGAGTTCATTCAGACCCTGTGTCTCTGTCAGGGTCTTTTCCACAATTCTTACCCAGGTGCTAGCTGCAACACATGTAATCAGGCAGTGGGACAAAGACTGGATAAAAGAATTCTCAGCAACATTCAACAGATTCATCCACTGTGATCAAGTGCCCTGTCCTGACCTTG